CAACGGCGGAACGGAACGGTTCTTCTTCGGGTCCACCCCCTGCCATTGAAACGAAAGAACGACGAGTAACATCAGAAAACGTTCTAAAATTGCACATCTGCGTGTGCTGCTCGGTGATCGCCCTGGGGCCATGGGAAAGATTAGAGAATATGTCTACTGGGGGCGTTGGCAACGCCTGACGGTGATGGCAAAAGACTGGTTGCTGGTAGTTACAGAACTGCATACCTGAAGCCAAGCCTTTCTGGCATGTACAATGAAGTGTTTGCAACCACCTTGTGCAACTGTCTGCAGATAACAAGCCAAAAGGGACGGGCACTGCGCACTTGACAGCAGTTATACTGGGAAGCACAATCGCAGTGTCGTATGAACGTGTGGACTACCTCAGCTTCAATCGCCGTGTCGTATGAACGTGTGGATCACATCAGCTCCAACCACTTTATCAAAGCACAGAGGGTTGATGCTTACATTTACGAAATCTCGAGTGAATTCCGGAGTGTCCAAATGATCAACCCCCAGGCGGCATTTGACAGTTATGGGGATCTGCACTCGCCTCCTCATTTCATGCACGATATCCCGCACTTTCGCAGGCGTCCTCATCAGCGCCGCTCCGAAGCAGCCTGGCGGTTGCATCATTAATTACAGCGCAGAAATAAAACCGACTCAGTTATATCTCGGAGAACCATTCGATTGTTTTTTACAGCACTTAGTGCGCCCGCTATCGTATGTGCATCACTTAACACGGAGATGGGTTCACAGTGTCTTCACGTGAACTAGGGGCGGAAAGCGATCAGCCCACCCTTGGCCACAACTCGCGAGCTCGGACACCCGACGTTGAGGTTGACTTCGTCGTACCCGGCCCTCTCCGCCCAAGTGGCTGCCTCAGCAAGCGTCTCAGGGTTTGATCCGCCTTTGAAGGAAAATCGAAACGTAGAGGCACAGCAGCAATCGATGCAACAATTCCTGATACGTGAGGGATACATTAGTCCTGGAATAAACGTGGGAAGCCAACTAAAGGACGGGGTATAAGAGCCGTACCGAGCTGACAAACGATGGGGTGCTCGATTTCATCAAAGCCTGGATGTGAAAGCCACACACAAACAGACCTTCCTTGGGCTTTGCTTTAGTAAGACGCGCTTTCTCCA